AATCGATAAACAACTGCAAATTACTGCTGTAAACAGGAATGACCAGTGACATCTATCGCGCACTACTCAGGCCTTGAGCTCTGCAACTGGTTAAGACCGTACCAGTCAGATTTCATCGATTTGTGAGTAACCTTGCGCGACTTTCTCCGGTCGACTTCCGATATAACAGAAAAAGCTTTTGAATCAATTGACATTTCGTGGGAAACTGTTTGTCCACAGTCGACCTGATTGTCTTCTAAACGTGACTTTCCTCACCTCGACCCCTCCCTTCTTCAAATTCAATGGAAATCATTTGAAGAATATTTCAAGACTTTTCGATACATATAGGAATATCTTGATGGCCTGTTCCCACTTGGTTTTTGTAAGGGTGGGCTGATACGTCTACCAATGCCATAAACAGTAATGAGCTTCCATAGCAGACTTCTGTTCTCTTTCCCTTTCTAGACTGATACAATTCCGTGGAAATTGTGAACTGGTATTCGGGAGGGTGAGGCCCAGAAATGTTGTACTGAGAGGTCTATCTTCCGTGAGTACCATGAGGGCGTGTAGTATGAAATCAGAACGGAAAATACATTGATCGATGCTACTGACCTGTAAAACCAGGAAAGTCTGATGGATTATGTGGGCTTTGATCGGAACACTATACTTCCGCCTCTTACCGCTGCCCTCTCCCTAACTCAATGCTGAAGCTAGTAATATGACCCTGGTGGTATGGAATGATCATCGTTCACTGTAAAAGTGGAATGCGTAGTAAGAAAAAATCTATGCTGCTGAGCTACATGTGCGGTACAATTTAAGAAATCAGCTGATTTACGACGAAAGCTTTTTGCTCTCTAGATATGAGGAACCGATCATTGGAAACGGGAGTAAACGGCGGCACACGTGCTGGTATCAATTTCAAGCCACGAAAACCCACATGTGGAATCCCACACAGCAGGGTAAGACTGCTTGATCCTCCGAAACGTACACTATACGATATGTTTATGTTCTCTCATAGAAATTCCCCATTCCTTCAGCCTTTACCTAGGTTCTACCTCAATTCCTAATTTTTTCTCTTCACAAATTCCATGACTTTGTGAAAATGCTATTTATATTTATTGTAATGCTCCTCGCTAGGAAATACAAGTTCTTCGTTGGTCTTTTCGTTGGCCCTTTATTATGCTCCAAAGCGTATGTTACTGTTTTTTTAACAATTTAGTTTTCTGAATTTACGTCACAGCTGTTGCTGACTAGCAGATATCTGCCTCGCTGTAACAACAAACTTAATCTCGTCCTCAAGCTCGTCCACTCGGCCCTCTTCAAACTCAGAAAACCAGTCTATCTCAAGAGCCGAAGCCGTTGTATCAACAGGATTTCCGACTGCAAGATATCCTAACGAACTATGATAGATGAACTTACTTGCTGGAAAATTCATTACCAGTGATCACGGATTCTACAAGTTCTCTCTTCTGTGAGCGCATACTGCCAAGTCTTTTGAGTCTCCGCCAGTTTCTCGAATTTATTGTTGCCACTTTTATCCCATTATAAGTTACTCGCTCCATTCATATTACTGTTTTTGGCATAACCTGCCTACGAGTGAGCTTCAAGCTCCTCTTCAAGCTTCGCCAAGGAGATTGGCTCTACGCTGAGTGGTTAACCGCACCATCCCAGAGAAGACAGGCGAAAGGAACAGAAATTTATCGGTCACTGGGGAACATTTCAGTTTACCAGTAAGGTTAGCTCAAGCGATAAATCGTTCAATACTGTACAATCCGTCGAGTGTGCCGGCCCAAGTGTGCGTATTTGACTGGGCAACGAGTGTATTCCGACAGAGAAGCTGTGGATTTCGTCAGACGACCGAGGAACCTCTTAGGTTTTCATCAACCACAGACGTCAGCTGGTGCATTAGTCAACCGAGCAGTTTTTCCTGACAGAAAACGAACAGCCTCTCGATCACTGCAGTTGCAACGATAGGGTCAGAGGCATCGATTTGGTTGGTCCGCAGTTGGTAGAAGGGAATATCTCCGTTACAGTAGTAATGGATATAGAATATCACGAAATCGGTCTTAAGGAGTACATCGTCCTGAAATCTTACGTTTTCACCTAACTATCGTCATCGTCGATGTCGTTGTTTGCCGATAAGACTCCGCCCCGGACAGTCGCACTCTCACTTCCCCACTGCCTTCCACTCCCACACACTCGCACATATACACACACANACACACACACAGACAGACACACTTAATCCTCTACCTCTACCGGTTCCGGAAATTCTTTGCGTGAAGTCGCTGACAATGACGTGCTCATGTGATCTTCGTCGCGAATACTTCAATTTTACCACCAAATGAAATTTTTAGTTCGTTCTTCCTGTTTTTCAAATTTGTTTCGAATTTTTGTGTTTCCAATGATAGCTCTGGGAATCCTCGATCCAAAAGCGCTCCCCGTTGCTTTTGCAAAGCTCATGTGACCCTGTGGGGAGCACACACGTTCAGCGCTGCCTCCCAGCCTAGTCATCGGCGATTCTGACGGCGACGAAAGAAATCCCCGATGATTTATTGATTACTTACTCACCTCCTCGTTTTTCTTTCCCTCACCGCACAAGTGAAACTCGATCATACTGAGGTAACCAGCTCTATTCAATACTTGTATCTGGAGGAAGCTCAAGATCAGGTATTGAAGGATTCAATCGTTAGGTCTGTCTCAATAATTGCCCTTAGCTTTGAAAACAAGTTTTTGTTTGATCCGATGTGGTTTTGTTTACAAAACAGATTCCACTCTTCTTAGTCGTCAATTCTGTTCGATTCTGCTCGTTTTTTCTCGGTCACCTTATTACACTAAGGTTTCCTTCGCACCTCAATCACCTCCACTCGTTCCAGATGCCTTTCAAGCCCGTCGAACACCCGAAATGTCCGAAATGTGGAAAATCCGTCTATGCAGCTGAAGAGATGTCCGCCGGTGGTTACAAATGGCACAAGTTCTGCTTTAAATGCAGTACGTTCAGCTATTTTCTTTTTGGCAGAATATTTTATTTTTTTTATTTTTTGATATTTTTGCTCCCGATTTGCTTCCATCGGTGCTTTTGCATTGTGTTTTTGAATATGTTGAAAAAAGTTGCTGGAAGGAACAATTTACCCCTTTCCCTAGTCATCGATCGGATTTGTAAGTAATGTGGTAGTTAAAAAGGGGGAATATGGTAGGCTTCTGTCCGTCTCCACCCAGCCGTATATCGGTCCACTTATCGTCGATATGTCGTAAGATCGGTCCGCAGTATGGGAATGTACAGAATGAGAAACAGCTGCGCGATTCTGCGAGGTCAGTCGGACGAATGGCCGTCGTAGCGCTCACGACGGAAACACTCGCGTCGTTTTGTGGGCATTGCTTCATCTCTATCGCTTCTTAGATAGAGCTTCAGGATTAGTTGAAAAGGTCAGCAGCTCGCCTCCACGCTTTCTAACTCTCCCGGTCATTGCAGTGACGGAGTCACGTCCCTAAAGTGTGCATAGAGGGAGTGGCTTGACGTAACGCCTTGGAAATGACATATTTGATGAGGGTCCAATCGTGAAACTGGCTTCCACGATAGCTTCGGCAGTGGAATAATACGGAACTGCAACTGTCTAGATGGTAGCAAGCAAGATTACCGGATAGCTCTGAGGTTTTCGCCAAAACACAATTGTTTGCTCAAGAGGAATCCGAGCCTCTGTGCAACAGATTTCTCGATATCTACATGATAATGACGTAGTCGACCCTCTGAGCCGATTTATTTCGGGCTAGAACTACGCGTCTAACTTACCATCCGAGCGGAGATAGGGTGCCTAAGCTCATCGAACCTATACCCTCAATCTTTTTATGGTTCCAAGTGTACTACCCCATCGATTCATCATTGTCGGAATAACGGGCCAGCTTCCTACGTCTGGCTCGTTTTTATGCCCTCCGACTGATGTGGTTTAAAAGCCAATCGCATATCTTCTTCAGCTCGTCAAGTGCGTTTTTGTAGTCCTTAGGCATGGCGGAGCACTTGCTGGAGCCAATATACAGTCAGAATTTTCATGCTCATACGTTAGGGGGACACTGCTGAAAATAAGGATGTGTAAGGGCAGCCCAAGCATCTAGGAGCATTCGAACTTAGTATGACCCAGAAGTAACGAGTGTGTGGAACGGTACCTCAGCGTCGTTTGTACGGTAGTGGGCGCTAGGTGGGTCGTAAAACTCAATTTGGGTGAACACCTGACAAACCTTTGATAGTAGCCTCGCAGCACAGAATTGCAAGGATCGTGTCCTCTCGCTCCATCACCAATCGAAGCAACCCGTTGAACCCACTTGAAACAAATCGATTCTATTTTAATCGATTTCGAGTGCGATAATGAGAGGGAATTGGTTTGGGCTTGGATCGGAGTGTCGGAGACTCGCATAGCCATTCAAAAAGCTGTCTGGACAGAACAACTGGGCCGCTCGCACAGTGTACTAGGCGACAACTGCCTAAGAAAAAGCTATTGGATGATCTTCAATCGGTCACTTGCGAAATAGAACGGAGGCTTTGTCGTAAGACTGTCCTTTTCTCGTTGGTCCACTGACGATGAGTCATTCTCAAGCTTATGAAAGTTTGCAGCTAGAGACAGACGATGATTCCATAGGACATTGTATGTCTGAAGGGCAGGCCAGTGTGGCGCTGGCTTCTCACACCCTCCATCTGCATTAAGGTCAGTGTTGATGGCAAGAGGTACTCTTTATGGGAAATGGTAGTTGTCTCGATGAATCCTTTCCAAGAAGACCCCAGCTGAAGCTGAGGAACCGTGAGGCAGAATGCTATCCCAAATGTTTGGCTGGGACAGAATTCTGGCGAGAGAGGACGCTAGTGAAAAGAGACCTGACAGTTCGATGGCGCAAGACCACAATAAAAAAAANAAAAAAAACTGATTGCTCGCTTGGGCGAATCTGAATTTAACGTCAGGTCCCGGGTGTATCTGCCGTGTAACTCACCAAGCACAGTCGCTTTAATCGGTAGATCCTATGTATGTGTGACTGGACCCCCACACGCCTTAAATGGGAATGTGCTATCCAGAATGGGAACATCAACAGGGGAAAACAGGGCTGCCAGGTAGGACTTTGCGTCAGCTCAGCAGTGGAAGTCGTTTTTGATTGATTCTTTCGTCTTACAATTGGGTCTGCTGCTGACGGGCATTTTCTAGCGTTTGTAGACCGTGACGAAGTAATTTTACAGTTACAAATTTTTTTCAGGCTATCAATTACCCATCGATCACTATCATTTAGATGTTCTTACAATTGAGACCTTCAGACTGTATGTACAGTCTCTCCAGGCCAAGCCTTTTATGAATGTTTCCTCGTCGTGTTCCTTCCTGTCCTGTCCGACATGCTTACCTAACTGTCCTTATATGTGCAAATCCTTTATATCTGTGTGTTTTTCATTTCCAATGTGCTTGTGCTCCAAAGTGGGGTGTCTTATAAGGGTATGTATGAGTGTGATTTGTTCAGCAATGTGTAACAAATTGTTGGATTCGATGACATGCTGTGAACATCAGGCGGAGTTGTTCTGCAAACAGTGCCATTGTCGACGGTATGGCCCAAAGGTTTGTCGCCGGTCCTGTTGTCGCTTTTTGTCCGTGTCACAGCCTCTATGGCAGTAACAGCTGCAGTTGCCTAACAGTAAAAAAAAAATATAAACTAGCCAATCCTGGAAACCGTCAAAAAGGTCCTATCCATCGTTGCTGAAAAAACAGATACGTAGGGTAACTCGGTTCTCAGTTTCTAAAGCCATCCAAAGCAACATAAGGAACTTCCGAATTAGTTGAACGAGCTTGAGCCGTAATATCATTCCACGAATTTAACATTCCGAACCCTCATATACTTTACCGATTCTTTAAAGACGTTAGGTAAACATCAACAAGTAGTATTACTATTGTTGGGAAAAGTCCAACACTTTAGGGTACAACTTCATGGCTTCGCATTTTGCTGGTGATCTGAATGGGGAGGTTCGTATGAATTCAAACGTGATCGCATGAAATCTCGAAGGTTCTTTTGACTGAGCTCGGGGTGACTCAGATCCATTGATAATAAGATCTAATAAATACGTTCAATAGGGCGATTATGAAGGTTTTCCTCCGTGAACCGAGGCCTTGAAAACTACGGTTCCAGGACGATCAGATCTCTCTTCTGTAGCTGTTTCAAAAAATGTTTTTTTCTACCAACCTGAATAATTGGAACCAACTTGAACGATGTAACTCCTACCAGTACCCAGCAACTGCCGCTGTTATTGAGCAAAGGCTTTTTGTGATGTGTCGCTTTTCAATTTCCAGGGTGTTGGCTTTGGGATCGGAGCCGGTTCACTGACTATGGACACCGGAGAGCAGTTCGGGAATACCGAAGTTGACATGACGTCAGTCAATACCTGCATTGCTTTCTTGAGATTTCCTTTTGGCTGAAGATGTGAAAAGTTCTAATTCCGAGTTTTGGAACCGTTCCAAAAATCGTGGAACTATTGACTCTTACTACTAACCAATCTCTTATCCCTTAACTTGTGTTGCATGCCTTGTGTGTCGCTATTTATTGTTTCATCTTTGTTGTTATTTGTAAATGTAGTAGGCCGTCACAAGAGTTTGATCTACTTAAGGCCTCCCACCGATCGATGGCCAGGGAAGAGGCCTTAGACCGCGCGTCCCTCATTGATTGGCTGCTTTCAGGCTTCAACGACTCAACCGGCGTGCGTCCGTCCTTCCGTCGCGTACGTGCTAACCACTTGTTGACAACACTGGCACGGACCCATCGGTGTCCAATGTTGTCAACAAGTGGCTAGCGCCGCCGTCGCTTGAACACGCAATGGTCGGGCGGACGCACGCACGAACGGACGCAACGGACAGGCGGAAGCACATCGGTTGAATCGTTGAAGTCTGAAAGCAGCCATTGTGTCAAGACCGCAGTGCAAGAGACCAATGGAAGCACCGAAATCGAAAATCCTCTAATCATATTTCACTCAAACGTTCATTTCTTCTCCTTCCTTTGGCGCATATAAGGTTTTCAGATATGTGCAACAAATTGCTCGACTCGTGTACTGTCGCTCCACATGAGGCAGAGTTGTACTGTAAACAATGTCACGGACGGAAGTATGGACCAAAGGGTGTCGGTTTCGGATTGGGAGCTGGCTGCCTAACTACCGATTCTGGAGAGAAATTCGGCGGAGTCAGAGAAACGTCAGGGCAATAGATATTTCTGAGGTCAACCTCACCGCAAAATTCACAGCAGAGAGACGCTAATAACCGAAGCTACTATCCTAAATTAATAAAATCCTTGGTTTACGTACCCCAAAAGAGGCAAATGTAAAATATGTGGGAATGCGCAGTTTGAAAGCTTGAGACATAACGTAGCAATTGGTAAACATCAATCGATGACCTCACCCATCTCGTTTTTACCAAAGCTGTTCCGGGAATGGGCCTTACTTCTAGCTTCCCCAGGTGAGCCCTACAACGAGCAAAAACGTTTTTTCTCAAGTTGGAAGGTTTTGAATGAAAAATATGTCAGATTATGTCCACGTATTCATAGAAAATGGCTGCCCGTGAAAGGAATTATTGTGGATTATCTCGATCTTTTATCCCTTCCTCCCACAAAATTCCCGACGCGATGCTAACACTTCAAGCGTTTCGCGAAAATTTTCAAATCGCAGAGAGGGCGCGGCCCCAACCGATCAATACGTAACCTTTCCGTGTGTTTCCTAGTGCTCTCCTACGCTAACCATAAACGGCTTAGTCTTTCACTTTCTGCCGTTTTCCTCTGTCCAGCCTTTCCTCCTATAGACAAGCAACAGATATTTTTTTGAAGAATAACAGAGGTCTCGTTTTTTTTAGTGCCGCAACCCACGACTAGAGTTTCACGGAGCACAACTTAATTTTTGTATTAGTGAATTGTGCTAGAGTTTAGTAAAAAGGGAGAAACTTTACGTCTCAACAATTTGCTCTCTCTACTTTTCCTTCCCTTTCCATCGTCCAAGTAAGGAAGAGAAGTGCGAGCATGTCTTTTCGTCTGTGCTGCATAGGTGGTGCCTCTCCAGCTGTTTCCACTCAACGAGTGGAATTTCGGTTGAAAACAGCCTCGAAACCAGTTTTGGATACAGAAGTCCTATTTACAAAAATCGCTACGCCACGTTCGATGCGTTGCAACGAAATTATGTTGCCGAATGCATTTCCACCTAGGGAACACTTGAAAGCCACTTCTAGACCCGCACTGCAACCGCGCGCGTCGAAGACTGGTCACTTCCGAGTACTTCCAATATGCGCCACTCTTTTGCATTTTTAGGCCAAGAAGAAAAAGAGTGAAGACTAATAATTCTTTCTCCCTACTAACCATTCAACTACGCAATATCTTCATACTTATAGTATCCATTTCAGCAATAGACCGATGACTGCCGAGGCGTTCACTGCTCCAATCAATCCATCACACAGCTAGAAATAGCCGGATGCTAGTGGACTGACCAATACGCTATTTACTGTGTAATAAATTTCGTCGAAAAATTAACTATAGCCATTTCTGTGAATGCTCGCCTATAAAGATTAAAAAATTGTGTTTTTTTTCGAGATTCCATGCTTTGAATCAAAGGCCCTCAGAAGATGAACCAACAAGAAAACATAACTTCGCATAGGATGTAATACGACATAACAACATAATGAAGGATATTACAGATTTTATTAATATTACAGAAACTACTATGTATACATGCTAGAGCAGTAAGGGTATCTGTACAAAATGCTTGCAATAAAAAAAAGAAAATTACAGTAACAGTAGATGCAAACCGAGATGACGTACGATTGATTAGATGTAGAAGAAAGCCATTTTCCTGGTTTCTATCACTTTGCATTTGTGCGCCGCGCCGAGATCATTCCATCTGCCACCATACAGCCCTAGTTAGAGCCTCGTTACCTGCCCTCCCTCCGCCGCACAGGTGCATAGTGACAGAGATGTGGATATTGGCTACGACAGAGACAACCCAACCCAATGAGTATACTCTCAAGCTCGCAGGCGACATCAAAGCAACGAAGTACGTGCTCACAAATCAGTTATTAACCGACTTTGTGAGGTTCGGTCGAAACCGGTCCTGATAGGAATGTGGGTGGTTCCGGAAAACGCGCTGCAATAATTCCTACATTAAAATACATGGTTATAAAACTTCAATGTATGAAATCCTGAAAAAAAAAACTGAAAGTACCATGAAAGATTAGGAGTCGCGCATGTACTAATTACCATCCTATCTTGAGAGTAAAACCCACTAAGGAATGTAAAGCCATTCTGACGCCTAACTCTTTGTACTACAACCTCAACAAATCGTGGCATAGTGTATCTATAGAAATGCTTCTGCTCTCCCTAGCAAGTACGATTCTTTTTCAGTCGAACGAGCTTCTTATGCCACCGGCTGGCGTCAGAGGCATAAAAAGCTGGATTGACATAAGCTACGTCAGTACTCGATCAGAACTCAATTCTATTGAACCGCACTACAAGTATCGATAACTTCAAGAGGGTAGAGGGTTGAGAAGAAAATTCGTTAATTTTTCTCAGTTTGAGCATAGCTAGAAAGCTACTACTACTTTTTGCACGATAATATTCCAAATAACAACTTACCACTGCCCGTTCGTTGCTGCCCGGAAACCATCCGATATTTTTGGTATTCTGGATACGCGGGTGTCCTCCTGAAAACGCTAAATAAAGTGCACTTTGTGATGGCGAAATTCAGAGAAGTGCATCAGGTAGATGTACCTGCACAGTGTTAGTCTCCGTTGGTCTGAGCCTAGCTGTAGCAGTAGGAGGTCGTATTTTAGAAGGCTTTGGAATACCAGTGTTAGGCTTCGTTTTGATGTTAGTGGGAGAGGATGTGAGCAACGATGGTGAAACATTTTCTAGATCTGTTTCCAAATCTTGTTGGAGGGAACTTTTTGATGCCAAGGAGGCAGCGCTCGTCGTCAAAACCTTCGTTTCGGGCTCGTCTCCGTGGTCCTAAATTAAGGCTAGGAAATAGGACGCAAAGAAGAAGCAAAAAAGCATGCAGTGCAGGATATATAACACTGAGTGATAATGAATGGGTTATCGATGAATTTTGAATTGTAAAGCAAGAAATCCAATGCTGATGTCTGTCTGGTGGCTCAGTGGGAGATGCCATGCAGTGCAGGTCGAAGAGAATGTGCTGGTGATAAGAGGAAAAAGGGACCAGTTGAAGTATCAAAATCTTTGCTAACAAGAAACCGTCTACTGCACTGCTTCGCCAAGCATTTTTCTATATCACAAAAGTATTCAGTCAAAGCAAAGTCAAAAATGAACATTGTTTCATACGGCAATGAAACCCATGGCACTGTTTGTTTGTTTTAAAATGAAACAAGGGATGGCAAAAAAATATGCCGCAACTTTAAAGAAAAATAACTACTCCTATGTCACAAAGCGTCATTGAACAAAGCATGTTAGTTTATGGCCATACATGTGATGAGCCGAACAATTTACGAGCTTAATACCTGACCATCAGCGAACCCATGTTACGAAGACAGACCCTTAGCAAGACTTCAATTAGCAAAAATAGTTATTATGATAGCTTACTCTGCAGGCGCTGCTTGAGACATATTTTGGAATTCTGCTTGTGGCAGGATGCTGCTTCGATTGGATTGTTTCTGTCGGCTCAGAAAACTGCGTAGTAACCTTCTCTAAGGGAGGAGAAGGAGTCTAAATAGACGGTATCAAGCAAGCTAGCGATAATGCCATGCGTCCAAGAAAAAAGTGTAGGTAAAAAAAATGCTTTTTTTCCGAAATTTTTTTTCGAAAAAAAATTTTTCGAAGCAGTGAAATAGTGAATATTTACTTCAGCCACTACAAAGTAAGACTGTTTCTCACACTATGTGACAAAATAAAAATACCCCCCACTTTCGTCACTTAAATCTCCACTTCTTTCTTTTTACTCGGTTTTCTTCCCTCCTTATTTCAACCTCGTCAGAAGCTTGTCGTAATATTAGAGCGTATATTTTAGGTACGAAACGCAACGAAAACCCATAATTAAGCATAATTATACCTTCTCTTTCATTGCAGAAATTGGTATCATCGTGATATGCTGAGACGAGGAAGGCATCGATGGTACAGCAGGTGGTGTTGGTGGTTTCGCGGCGGGAGGAGGTGCGATACTGTAAAGTTTGCTACGAGACAATAGTAATTTACTTTACTACTCTAGCATGACGGTGCTAGAAACAGATTCAAAGCCAACGATAAACTGTTACCTAGTTTCACGAGATGGCGCACTAGTAAATGACATTACTGGTGGCGTAACTTCTCTCGTCGTGGGTACCTGAACTTTCAATACATAGGAGAATACGAAATGAATATTTGTCTTACTGGATGAGTAAGCTGATTGAATATGCAAAATCACCATGGTAACAGGAATAGAAGGGGCTGAGTTTGTGGCGGGCGGTGCTGGTAAGGGAACAGATGGTTTTTCTATTGGCTCTCCAATTGAAAGATGGCTGATTAGCTGCTCTACTGGTACAGTGTTGTTTGTGGATGTGGTGTTGACATTAACAGCCTGAATTAAGCACAACATTTAGATGTTTAGTGACTTTTCGACACAAAGGGTCACCTCGGGCTTGATCTGCGCTTTATTGAAAGCATGACTCTGCCGAGGTCCATATCGCTGACTTGGTCTCCTCTCGAATGTTGCGGTTGTTCTGCGAGACAGACGTGCACCATCTTTATGAACGGCTTCATATTCGGTCCGGCCTCTGAAATTTCTACGACCTTCGACAGCCACGATACTGGCTCGGCTAAACCAACATGAATTATTCTTTCACAGCATGAGCACTGAGCATGAGAGACTAAGATGAGCACTTCATGAAGTTATTACGACTCAGTAATCGTTCGGTCCACATTACCTTTGAAACCGCCCCAAGTTTTCTATACTTTAACCGAACATTGATAGCCCAATTACAACCGAGCAACTATCCGACGCCCTATTAATCCTATTTGCGTTAGACGGCCCATAACAAGGAATACAAATCCTACCTATACTTGAAAGTGCTGCCCAGTCGGAAAAGCTGCGAACGCGAATGTTTCACACAAGAACGAGTCTTCAACCGGAAGAAAGTGTGATGCTCAATTGCACATTTCCACAAATGTTTGCAAGCCTTATGAGAAGCCAGATTGAAGACAAACGTATGCAGCTGCACCTGGCCGGTTGCCTGCAATACCAACGACACTAACGTCAATCATCTAGATTGGATTGCAAAAGACTTACGGACTGATCTGCATCTTCTTCGACTACTAAAGTTATTTTACGATTCTTGAAGTCCAATTTTTGAATTTTCTCCCAGAAGAAGAGACCAATTTTCTCGCTGCCATCAAAAACAAGCATTCCTGATGGGGTCAAGCCAAGTGTATATCTAGAAAAGGGGTCAGATAGGAAGGAAAAACAAATAGGCACATGTTCGCTCAATAAAAGCATAAGATCCAGTCATCCCTATGAACAAAACCTTTTTCAGCACAACGCTCTGCAAGAAAGCTGCCATACACGCCACTTTACAGTCTTGTTCAGGTCATAAACATACCAAAGACCATTAGACCTTCCAGTATTTTTGTTCTTCTCAATGCTGATAACCAGTAAACTAAGATTAGCGCCTACGCGTTTAACGCACAGTTGTACCTGGGTTAAAGGCCTTCTATTGACTCGATTAAGATGACACCAACTCACTGATTTCCATCCTTTCCTTCCACAGTGTGCATATCGACTCCATACCTCTCGATCCACTTGGCTCTGCTGAGGTAGTTAGCCTCGGACTGGGATGGAGTTTGACCTCTGGGAATGAACAGAGGTTAATGCAGAGAAAGCAATGCATACGTCAAAGAAGTGGCAATCGAGAAATAAGTTACCTGCACAGTTTGTACCGCTCTAAGATATCCAACTCCATCTGAGCATCTTGCTCAGGATGGAAACGAAACTGCGAGATAAACAACGCGCTGTGTTCATTCGGATTATAATCGCCCAGTTCTGCTGAAAAAAAAGCACTCTGAAATTCGAGGGAGCCTAATCAAAAATAAGAATTCAGTTTAATCCTACAGAAAATGACCATGCCCTAGAATCGAATAAAAGGCTTTTCCTGAGATCAGGTTAGACTTACACTGTAGTGCGTAGGCAGCCAATTCCACAGCAACTTCCTTAGAGCAAGGAAGTCGACCGGACAGTATGTCTTGTTTGACTTGAAGAAAGAACTGATACCTAGAACAGATCTGATTTGCTACAACGCTTCTTTGACGCCCTATACTAGAAATTCATCTCTACTTCATAGATGAAAGGTTCAAGCCGGAAGCATACAAAAAGAAAACGAAATTCTGACCTCGTAAGTTCCTCTTTGAGGTTGCTTGGCTCGTTCGTGTAGAATTTCACCCGAAAACGAAAGGTGTATGGCGGTCCTATGGGGACCTGTTTGACAATTTTCTTCATAGGATCGAGCCAATGCTAAAATTACTGAGCACTCAATTTCAACCAGTAGAGGTACAAGCAAAACGAATTTGTCGCAATACTTGCACCCAAAACCTGCTGTGCAAATGAAATATTCCAACATTGAGATTGCTGAAGCAAAGTGACCAACCACTAGCCGTTTCTTGCACCCGTGTATCCGTTAATTTACATACTACCTTTTACAAAGCGAAGGAGGCGAGCAAAAAGCGGCTTACTTACATGGACATGATAGTGATCGGTGAACTGCAGGCCGAAGTAGTCCCTCTCTTCAAGATCCAGAGAGTAGAACACCTGGTCGTAAACTTCCGATCCGTAGGCGTTTTTCTTAAGAAACATCATTTATCTATATCAGCCGTACTATTGAAATCATGCCATTATTTGTTGAAAAAACGATTGCTACAAAGTCAAGAGCCTACAGAAATCTTCTAGGCGAAACAAAATTCCACAGAACTTGCGCTTATAAAGTTCCTTCTCAAACGAAATCAGTCATAAAAAATCAAGCTTTAGAACGAGACGATCACATTTCAATTTCAAGATGGCACGAGCACAAATCAACCGAAAAGTGAACATAGGATTAAGAGCATGAAAGTAGTCACGTACCGGTACGACAACGTTGAGATCAGTGCCATCCAGTAGGAGCACCTTGCAGCTGGCTTGTCGACGGTTGTCAATTTTGGACGAGCTGTCATTACGTTTAACCTCGCACTGACTAGGTGGCGATCGGCGAAATCGCTGCGACAGCGATCGAAAGAGCGACGGCATTCCACAACTATAAATGGAATTATATTGACATTCAAGTAAGCAGGCTGTGTCCTTTGGACGAAAAAGCTTGAGTCAGATTACAGCGGCTATGACGGTTGTCTTTCAGCAGCTATCGGATTTTTCTTGCACGCAATACACTCCATTAAACATGAGAAGGTGAAAAACTGTTTTGCTTCTAGACTGCGTTCACGGCTCGCGCTGCAACTCTTTCCACCACTGAGGAAAAGGGCGAAACCTGAGGAGATGATGTGACTTATATAGATCAGAAATGATCGGAGAAACCCTCGATATTCGGCGTCGTGAAGTAGGATGCATGACGAAAGGAGCAGGTACTACGTATCAATCTTTTTCGCTCTAACATAATCAGGTCAGTGGTGAGTAAGGGATGCCATAAGAATATCGAGACATTAAATTAGCAATTGAAGGATCCCTTCTACAGTTTGATGAAAGCAACGGAGACTATCACAAACTTCGCATCGTAGAAAGAACTTATGGAAGTCCGCCTTCAGAGTTGGCGTTGTCACATCGGACGCGCCGCGACGCACGTAGTCGGCGCGATTCTTAATCGATTGTTAATCAAAGTCGTAAACTTCCGAAATTTCAAGTCATTCATGTAGTTATGGACACTGGAATGGGCTCTTGGGCTCTGTATTGGTAGTTTACGTTCGAACTGCACAACGTCACCTTCCCTGATTTCTTTTGAACTATAGGACGGGTTGTGTGGCGAAGAACATCGATAAGAGCCTAGACAACCATATTAATTTTATGAGACGATTCTTGCAGTAGTTGAGGTAGCGTATTTTAGTGGTGAATCCCACTTTGGATATGACAGTTCTGACATCGTTGCACTTTATGCAAGCGTCGAAATAGAGGAACCTACATGGATCGTGCATGCAATCTAGGTTTTCATCAATCCATTCTACATTCTAATTTCAGCAATGATGACATTGAGAAACTGCGAAACTTCCCAGATTAATTCCACTCCGATTCCACAGCATAATTGCAAAAGTGGAGTCGCCATAAGAAGAGGACTATCCCACCGCTTGCATGGACAGATCCTGTTGTCTACAGGGTGACTCTATAGACGATATTCTGAGGATATTTTTACATCTTTAAGCCATGCGCAGGCAGCACTTCAGCAGATGTTCGGAAGCCTCAAAGCTGAGTCAGTGAGAAAAGTGAAAACCAGATCCCCTGACTTTTCAGGACTCTCTTCTACTTCTTAAAACCGTGACGAAATCAGCTTCATGTGGTGAAAGAATTGGGTACTCAAAACCTCAGCAAAAACTTGCCACCTTTTTTACAGAATTGAACGAGATTTGCCTGAGGATGGAAACTTCATAGAAATTGGCGACTGAAAGCACAAAGACGTGGTTACTGATAAGGGACTGAGTTTCTGTTGGATACAGTTGAGAACGCTGAAGACCGTGCTGTGTGTATCACTACTGATATTGCACTTTATTCCTGACTGTCAATCGTGATAGATGTCAATCACTTCGTAAGCAGACTTCCGATAAGCGAACAGCAAGCAACAAGGAGCAAATTGTTTTAATCGAACCCATGAAGCGATGCATTCCATTAGAATGATCACCTCTAAATGAAAAGTGGTGCGAAAAAGAAGATTAAACTACTTGAAGATATGATGTGTGTCAGAAGAAGTGAGTAATGTACAAAATTTGGCCGTATCACCTACCAACATTGCACTCGTAACAAGGTTTCGCAGTGTCCCTGTAAAGCAGCCCGGTTTACCGAAACTTAGTGGCTGTTGTCGTTACTACATACTGTAGCTCTAGTGGGCATTGCTGGGTACAGCATTACTTGATTAGATGACTTGGAGAGGGGGTAAGTCAACAGTCAGCCAAATAGAAGAGCTGCTCAATTCCTTACCATGTAAAAAATCTATCAACATGCTTGAATCGCGTGCTTGGAAATATAATACTGTCGGGAAAGTCGAAGTTTATTTCACACCTGTTAGTGATTTTGAAAGGACAACGAGAACTATATAAGCTACAATGCGTTGCGGTGCGCGCGTCTTGAGTACCCCAGACGCGCTGCAAATTTGATGCTAAGTTTGAACGCATTTGCAGACCGGTGCTTGAATGTACCTATGCACAAATATTCCACAAATCTGCAAGACAAATCAAGACTTTTGACAAAAAGAGAACAAACAGCACAATGGAGTCGAGTAATGACGAAGTCTAAAGAAAATGGAATTTGTTCCAAGAAAGTGGCAGTTAAAGCTCATCCTACGAGTAAGGCATACGTACATTGCAAGAAAAACTCAATCTAGAAATGAGGCGGAAGAAATAGTTCAATCATGGGAGAGGGAAATAACTCGTCGGATTTGAGTTAAAAACGATTACCAAGCAAAAAAAAGATAGCAGGGACCACGCCTAACCTGTAGTGACATGAAAATTGTAAGTTCTCCTATCAAATAAACAAAGAAAGGCTCGAGTTGACATGTTTGCAAGTCTTCCCCTTGTTAGAACAAGATTACCTTCACAATCAATAAAAAGGTTCGGGTGAAGAAAAGTAGAGAACTAGGCGAAATTCGTGATTACAGTATCTGAAACTATGAGATTCAGATAGAATAGGTCATAGACCGAGTAAGGACATGCAAACGGGATACGGTCATAGTACGTTTCCTACACATATTTACTTATAAAATTGTTCCGCGTAAATTATGTCGTTCTAAGAAATGTTACAGAAGGGTCGTACGTTGCCATTTAATGTCTCGTATACGTAAAGACCGCGTTGCGACCGCACGTGAAATACCTAGGAGTTGCGACAGGCTTCACTCAGTGGTCGCAAATGATACAAGATCGTGTACATCACAATATATGTATATTGAAGGTAAACTAGACTACAGGGATACCTACTGTTGGGTCTGCACATATGAAAGTTAGGAAGGAAAACATTCATCCTGGCAATCGTATTGATGACGACGCCTTTGTTGAATTGTTATCGTGTTAATTGTTTGAACAAACGGAAGTGAAGCATTGACGATTCATTCGACAAGGCCTTCACTGAGATGAAATTGGTTATCGTTTCGACTCCAAAGTATGTTTGGACAGTCAGGAAAGCGAAAGGACTGGAAGATTCGTTTTTGGTGACTTTTCTTTCATCGGCACTGTCTTAGGGAGAGAACCTTGTAGAGAAAAACTCGGCGTAGAGGGTTCCACAACCCTGTCACATTTGATTATCAAAATATCGGTAACACAAATTCCAAGGACATTTTTCCATCGCGTATCATCAAAGGGACGTCCCAGTTATCGTATGGAATTTCAACTTGAATTTGAAAGATACTGAAATGGAAAGAAACAGAGACAGCGTGTCGGAGTTTATTCATGGAAATCCGGTCATATTAGGAGGCCCAGAGCGACAGGATATTTCTGGTCTGGGATCAAGTTTTAAAAAGACATGCGCTTAGCCCGACAGGGTCCTCTCCCCATTCTGGGTTGGTTGATGAGTTTAACATGGACTAGTTCAAAGTAATGGTATCGTGTGGGCTTATGAATAGCAATTCCAATGCCGTCATGACCCTAATCGCGTGGCGCTTCCTAGAATGGCAACTTTACAGTAACCTGAATTGTGCCCACAACGATCCGAGGGCTAGTGACTACAATTCAGATTGCTTCCGAAAGAAGCCATCGCGCACTAGGGTATCATTGAGGGAGCATATGGGAAAACTCTAATGGGGCATGAAACGCCCGATTTTTACGCTGGAAGCGGTCAATAGGAGCTGATGGGACAATGGAAGGAACCATATCGTTTCTATCGTACTTGTAGGCGGTCACGTACACGCCAGTAGTCGAATACGGCAGCAGGTGATCGAGCCCATTTCCCGACTATCCCTCGACGAAATTTCGCCTTTGAACCCTCTACACTAAGAAAAACCAAATCGCAGGCAATTTGCCATCTTATTACTCGGTGCACTAGCGTATTTACTGCAATTACCGCCGTCGTCGTTGACAGCGCGTCCTTCAGAAATGGTCAACCCAAAAATAGGTCTGTCACTACAGAGCATGGTGGGAAAGGGTACTAAATGAACTTTAATCCATTCCTTTCATTGAAAACTCAACCAGAAAGGTTATACTAAGGAGAGAACGCCTGCGTATTCCCAGAAAAAGACTGTTCGACTCACTGTGAAGCTTTAAACGGTGGCATACTAATCGGCAGTATCGACAGGCACCTTGGAGTTACTGCTAGTACAAAAAAGTCGGGCAAGTTAGATCAGAAACAATAAGAAATGTGCCCAAAAACTTAGATTAAACTGGTATATGATATTTATTGCACAGAAACAGATGGAGCCGTGACTCATCCCAAAGGGTAGATTAGAACAGGCAAGCTTGAGTGCTGTGCTTTTAGAGGGTTCTCGCTGCCAACTATAACAAGTGGGCCATTTGGTCAGAGCTATTCCGCTTCTAATTTCGTCTAAGTATTCTCATAAAGTCACAAATCTTTGGAGGGATTCTACATATTTAGCCAACTACAAGTAAGACGGACGAAGCAAGCACTAGAAGCTCTTCTGCAGGATGCATTGCCGTATGACTAAAATGTTGTGTCTGTTTTGACAGAAACAAAATTTCGATTAACTATAGAGGGAAAGAATTCATCGGGTGGCAATGCTGTTTCTCCCTCTATCTCTTCAGACGTCTTGGCACTTCGTGATCGACAAGGATCAACTGCAGTTCTAAAATGAGCTAAAATGCGATTTTAACGTTTTTAAGAGTTTTCAAGGAGATTAGAGACCCGAGAAGAAATTGCATACAACAGCTCACTTTCGATATCAGAACAATCCTTAAAAAAAACAGAATCTCATCTGGGTGAAGACTGACTGAAATGAATGGCCCCAGAAGAAATCATGTTCCTGGGCAGAGAGAGGTAGGCGTGGTCAAAAGCAGTTCAGCGTAGAACGTGTATAAATGCCTCATTGCAATAGATAGCGTTGAAGTCACCCTTTCGGTATGTTATCCCGGCCGTAGTATACAAGTGGTAGC